ACCAGTCAGCAGTAACAATTCAGGGCAGAACACAAGGGAATGATATATTCAGATGCCAAGGGAAAAAACCAGAGACGTTTGCATTTATATTTTTTTCATTCTAAACCATCACTTAAGAATAAAAGCAAAATAAGAACATTTTCAGATAAAAAAGACTAAGATGTTGCTACTCTCAAGCTCTCACCGAGAGTGTGAAAGGATATATTTAAGGAAGAAGATAATGAATCCCAGAAGCAAGGAGTGGAGTATGAGAGACCTAGAGGGCAAGAAATAGGTGAAATTCATGTCTATATCAAACAATCATTGACTGTTAAAAACAGCAATAATGAGATTAACAATAAAAATAATCATGATTAATTTAGAAGGCATACACCACTGTGGTTCAGTGTTGTGTCCTGGCAAGCCTGAGATGAGGCTAGGAGTGCATATATGCCTATTTATATAATCATAGTTTATATCTATATATAATTATAAAAAATTATGTACCATGAACAAGTGGGATTCCTTCCTGGAATGCAAGACTGCTTCAACCTAGGAAAATGCATCAGTGTAATACACCACATTAACAGAATGAAGGGAAAAAAAAAACATGATCATCTCAATTCATGCAGAAAAGGCAGATGAAAAAAATTCAACAACCCTTCATGATAAAAAACACTCAACAAATTAGGTTTAAAGGAAATTACCATGATATAATTAAAGCCATATATGTAAATTCACAGCCAACATCCCAGTCAGTGGTGAAAGACAGAAAACTTTTTTTTTTTTTGAGATCAGGAAGCATGTAAGAATGTTGGGTTTTCAGAAATAGACTCATGGACTGTGGTTACCAGGAGGGGAAGAGGAGAGGGATAAATTAGGAGTTTGGGATTAACAGATATATGCTACTATATATAAAATAGATAAACAACAAGAACCTACTGTATAGCACAGGGAACTATATTCAATTTCCTGTAATGAGCTGTAATGGAAAAGAAACGAATCTATATGTATGTATAGGTATAACTGAATCACTTTGCCGTACACCTGAAACTAACATTGTAAATCGACTACACTTCAATTAAAAATATGAATAAAAAATTTTTAAAAGAATGCTGGGTTTTACCAATAAATGTTTCTCAAAGATCATGAGGGAGATAATTTCTTATTCATTTTTGCATCCCAGTAACTAGCCAAAGGCTAAACTGTAGAATGTGCTTTGTAAAGTGGAGGAAAGGAAGGAATAAAGAGGAAGGATCAAAGGAGAGAGAAAGAAGGACAAAAAGAAGAGGTGATGAACTGTAAAACCAGGCCTTATTCTACTAAGTACAGTAATGACAACAGAGGTGTCATAACCTGAGCGATAGCACATTGTACAGCGTCTCATGATGTGGCAGAGACACTGCAGGATGAATGTGGTGACTGTAGTGCAGTGGAAGGGGTTAGGGCTGGAATAGGATACCCCCCCACTTGCTATAGGAAATACTCAGCTCTGCAGGTGTTTAGGTAGCTTAGAACAGCAAGTGGTATATTTTCCAATAAATATTTGGACTGGAAAAATGGCACTACATGTAAATAGTTGGCATCAGACAAATACAAAAAATTATAGTAGGTGGAAGGCAAAGAAAGGCACTGTGAAGCAATTAACATTCAGGCAGATGGCAGGTAATCCACATCAAGATGGTACATCAGCAAGTAGCAAGACATAATGGGTCATAGGCATAGAGCTAGGTTCTCGGACAGAGATCCCATTAGAGAGATGGGGAGCAGGAAGTTTACTTAAGGGATTCACATTTATGGGCCAAGATAGGGATTTGAATACCAGATTTAGAAAACCAGATACAGATCTTTTTTCAAGAATGAAACACTAGTATTTCAAGTATGTAACTCCTGCTACTTGAACTCTGCCTTCTGAAGCCTGGGCTCAGTTAAGATACAGAATAAGGTGGAAGCCAATTGGCTTTTCCTAGCTGTAGAGAAATATGCCAAGCCTGTGAGCCAAGTAGATCTTGGAAATCATGCATTATATATGTATATGAATAGGTGAATATTTCTAAATCTGTGTTCGTTATTCAACGTTATTTAAATAAATAAATGTGACATAATAAACACTTACTTTTACCATTGGGATAAATGCCTTTTAATGATCAGCTGTAAAAAAAATGTAAATTTTGAAAACCAGATAGTACTAGAGAATATATTTCATGCTAATCTCCATAAAACATAAGGAAATCAAAATTATACATTTTGCATAATTGTACAAAATATACACCATTATATTCAAATTTCTTATAAAACTTTAAAGATCTATCTTTATATAGATAGATATATAAGATATATCTTAAAATATATCTATAACACTAAAATTCATATAAAGTTTCTGGTCAAAAGTGGACTTTTTTAACTTTTAAACTTTATTAAAGACATTAAATGAGTGAGTCTAGAGCAACTTTTAAAAAACATTCATTATATTTTGAGATATTTGAGTACACAGAACTCTAACATTGATCCTAAGTTCGTAACTCCTTTTTTTTCCTTTTCATTCAGTATCATTTACATCCTGTTGTACAGCTTTGGGAACAAGTATAACCAATCAAATCATAGCTGCTATTCTCTAAAATGGACATAATTACCATTTAAAATGTGAGGATCTACTGGACAGTTTCCCAAAAGTACCCAAGGATATGCATGGTATTATGTATACTTTTTTCAAACTTAGAAGGTAATCGTTCCCTCAAAGTTTAATTCAAAGCTATATGGAAATACACAATAAATTATTAAAATAAAGACAGAGCAATGATAGTATAGAAACATTCAAGTCAAGTAGAGATCTGAAAGAACTCTCGTAAGGAGTCTTGTCCTTCTTCATTGGAAGGCAGGAAAAAATTTCTTTCCCTCTACTTGTGAGGTAGATAAAGGAGGTTTTGTCTTTTCCAGTTATCATTTATCCTTAAATGAGGCAAATTTCTGCCATATTTTTTACATCTTTAGTTTCATATACTTTGCCACCAGAAGCTTGCTGGATAAAAGACTGCCAAGAGAGTGACTACTAGATATTAAAATACTTAATTAAACTGAGATTAACCTCAGTCATTTCATCAATCTAAAATCAACTAAAGAATGTGCCAGGTTAACTTGGTAGATTTAGCTAAAGCAATGCATCTATTAAACCAAACGATGATAATAATAACCTCACGGAATCTGAGATAGAGTATAAATTTTCACGAAAATTTTTAATCTGATCTGAGTGCAGAGAGAGGAAAAGAAAACAATGTTGGACAAGCCAGATGATAAAATTCTTATTGTACCTTTAATCATCTTGCAATTTGTGGTCAAAAGTGTGACTATGAAGACATCATCATTGTTGACATGGCTGCAATCAACACTGACTAAGACTGGCTGGTTACCTATTTCTCTAAAAATATGATCTCCCTGTTTCTAAAAGGAAACATGAGTCTCACAGGAATCCTAATGGTGTTAGTTCTGGTGAGTATTGGGCTATACTTCATTCATCGGAAAATGCCCCCAGTGCCTTTCTAAATATTTAATAATAATTGAAACTCCTATTTTTAATTGAGGTTTCTTTTTTCTGGAATATTATGCTGTTTAGATCATGCACCTGTAATCAATGTAATCCACATCATCAAGAAGAAATATAGTCACTTG